TTTGCCTCCTAGCTCTTTCCTCTATTTCCTCTTGTCCCACTATCATGCTCAGCCTTCATTTGGGTTTCATTAATTCCTCTCGGTTACATTACCCTTGAACACAGCCTACCAGGCCTCCTACACCCTCCTCACCACTGATTTTGTTCACTTGTTGTTCCCTTGTCCCTGGGTTTGTTAACACCACTACCTTTCCCCCACCACTACCCATGTCCCCCAGAACTGTCAGTCCCATTGTTTTCTCCTCCAGATTGTTCATCAGCCTATTTTATTTAGACAGACCTGAGGAGATAATAACAGATCTCATGGCATGGTTCTGCTTGATACTCGCCTTCATGAAGTGACCATTGAAGACGTTGGTGCCACTCCAAAGTGTGGTGAAGAAAACAGGTAGTGCCAGGCTATCAATTGAAATAATCTGAGGTCTTAATTCAAATAATCAGCCATCTAAGTGAGGCATCAACTAAATCCATATGGAAGAAGCACACCGGCATAGGTGATCTAAAGATGACAAATATAAAAATCCATATATAATGAAGGGAAAGATATCAGAGCTTAAAATACGAACATCCAATTTGTGAAGGTTATGGAGAGCAGTGGGATCCCCAAGCTGATCTGCAGCAGAATATGCATGTGGATTAAGCTGCTGGCAGATCCCCTCTAGCCACAAGAGGATCTGGCTACAAGCTAGTCAAGGGACTCAAACAGTTTTCATATCAGACAGAGATGATTGTAGCTAGATTATGCTGGATAGAATTGTGATCTATTATGATCCTAGTCAGTTCACCTCCTTCTTGATCCATCCTGAATTTGTTCTAGGTTTACATATTTCTCTCTTGTGCCAGGATGGAAAATTTCTCTGGCTTATTTTAATATTGAGAGTGGTCTTTTTTTTCTCCCCATTCCCACCTTTTGTTTTTGATTGTTTCTGTTATGTTTACCAGTGGAAAAATCTCATTTTTTTCTCATAGAGCAACTGGTGGTTTTGAACTGCTGACCTTGTGGTTTGTGGCCCAGCACATAGCACCATGTCACCAGCGTTCCAACTGACTAGCTGAAAACAAGGGGACTATTATAACGAAGGCAACCGCACACAAACAGAAGCTGTCCTTGAGCCCCACCGACATGGCCAAGAATCTACAATAGACAGACTATAGCAACAGTACATGAAAATGCTCCCTTCTTTGTGTGACTCGTTCCTACATTACCTCCTGCCTCTTGCCTTCTAATTGGCCAGCCTAGAGTTAGGCTGTTCTTGACCCTCAGGGCACCTAATGTTGTTCATTGCTGTTGAGTTAGCTCTGATGCTCCAACTCATGGTAGCCTATGTGCAGCAGGTCGAAAATCCTGTACCACCTTCACTGTCACGGCTTTGCTTGAATCCACTAGTACAGCTGTTTTGAGTTATCTTCTCGCCCAGGGAAGAGGGCTCATCTTTCTTCCCTCTATCAGGTACTACTCTGTTGTAATCTGTAAGGTTTTCATTAATCACTTTTAAGCGGTAGATTGCCAGGAATTTCTTCCTGGTCTGAGCTAGAAGTTTTGCTGAAGCCTATCCATCATGGGATACCCTACCATATAACCTTGGAAAATTACTTCATATGCTTTCTTTCTATTAAACAGCATGCATTTAATACCGCCTCATGATTATTTGAAGGATTAGATAGAATAAAATGTTAAGTATTTCTAAAGGCAGCAGCCAAATTAAAAAAAAGAAGAAGCTTCAAAGGAAAATTAATTCACAGTACCAGGGCACCATGCTGTTATTACAAGAGGGCAATGCACGCTGATTGCTTACGCAGACGTATCTGCTTAGCTGCTCGTTCAACAGATGCAGCCAATAATGGTAAAAAGTTA